TAGCCATGCTAGTTGGCAGCTGAAAAAACAAACTGTGAATGGTCCTGCAGCAACTTAGGGTATGTCTAGACTACATGCCTCTGTCGCCAGAGGCATGTAGATTAGGCTACCAGACATAGGAAAATGAAGCGGCGATTTAAATAATCGCCGCGTCATTTAAATTTACATGGCTGCCGCGCTGAGCCGATCAGCTGTTTGTTGGCTCAGCACGGTAGTCTGGACGCTCCGCAGTCGACATCAAAGGCATTTGTCAACCTCCCAGGTATGCCTCCTGGGATGGGGTTTACCTGTTTACCTGGGATGTGTTTGTAAGCAAATGTAGACACACAGAACAGTGAGGCTACTTCTTCTTTCCCCTTCCCCATGAGGTGTGCCTACTCCAGGTTGGGGGTCTCAGCCCTTTTCCATCTCCTCATGAGGAGGGAAAAAACATAATGATAAGATCAAGAAAAGCATCCTGGTGGTAGTAGACCAGGCATTAGGAGCACATCAGCTCTGCCAGCTAGTGGAATATGGATGCCTCTCTCGATCTTGCATTTTTTCCCCTTCTTCAGAGGAGGGGGAAAGGGATGAGACCCATCCTAGAATGGGCACTGGAGGTGCTACTAAACTGAATTTGTGGCATTTGTTCATTCAATATTCAGTTTGCCCATCTCCACTGCTTATAGACCTCCTGCTCCACCTGGATGACTCTTCTTCATCTGAGGGGAGAGTGGATATGGCTCTTTCAGGGGTCTGTTAATACAAGACAGCAAGACTTTTAAAGATATAGTAAAATCCTTTATGTGTACATATTAATTTAGGCTAAAAATATTCTACAGCAAAATATGCTACGCAAATTGCGTATCTTATTTCAGTCCCCTATTTCAAAATAGAATATTCACCAAATTTTGAAATAACCCACCATTCCGAAATGTCCCTTACTCCTCATGGAATGAGGTTTTCAGGGACGTTGGAATAGCAAGCACATTGCAAAATAATGGACCTGCTGTAAAGAGGTGGGATAGCTATTTCAGGGCACTCTGGTCTCCTGAAATAGTGCTGGAATGGAGACAAAGCCAATTGTGTGGTAAAAGGACAAAATGGGGGAATATTAAAATGATATTGATGCAGGGAATTTAAGATGGGATTTCTGCATTTAGTATAAGTTTTCTATAAGCTCAAAATAATGATTATTTCTGATTAAGTAATTTTCAACAATACACGTAAGGGACTCATCGAGCTTTGGTGGAATGTAAGTTTGGAGTATCAGTAATGTTCCATATCACGCATTGTGCTTGAAGATATCTTACACTGCAGTTAGGAGGTGTGATTGCCAGAGTGGATAGACAATATACAATAGCTATGTACCCACACTGGGAATCGTATCTCCCAGCTGCAGTGCAAACATACCCTGAGAGGCATACCCTGGCCTACAGGAAACATATAGACTGGGGGAGAGGGGGGAATCTAAGGCCCAGGGGCCCGATGTGGTCCCTGGTTTGCCTGGAGATGGCCCCCGAACTCAGTGTTCCTCCCCCAGCATTGAGGAGCCCGTGCTGGCACTCCAGCCTCTCCTGCCCTCCCTACCTGATTGTTCTGTGGGTCAGCAGCCCCCGATCCAAAAACAGTTCCCCACCCTAATACAGACAGGGTTGTCAGGTGTCCAGTATTCACCCGGACAGTCCGGTATTTTTGCCTCCTGTCCAGTAAAAAAATTCAGAAAATACCGGACACCTAAGATGTCTGGAATTTTCTGAATTTTTCCCTGGGCAGGAGACGAAAATGCTGGGCACCTTGCAACCCTACAAACACTCAGCGCCCGGCTTCCCCCTCACCCCCCAGTCCCTATGCTTACCTGGTTCCCCAAGGCTGCTGGCAGAAAATGGCTGCTGGCCAAGAGACCTAAGGGAAGCAACGCTTCCCCTGGGTCTTAGTGCTCAACCGCTCCCCTGTTCCTATCCCCGCACTCACTCTTAAAGGGGACATGCTGTTATTTAAAAAAAATTTTTTTTTCATTTGAGTCCTTTTTTTTCCCCCCAACAACTTTGGTCTCTCCACCTTTAACAGATTTTTTTCCCCTGTGTTTTTTTTGTGGGGGAGGGGAGGGTGTTCAGTATTTTTGTTTCAACCATCTGGCAACACTAAATATAGACACTTTTGAATATCTCACTGTGATTAGAATTCAGCTCTGAAATACACTGGTCACTTACTGAAGAACATGCTATTAAAAATGTCTTCCACTGGTCCTTCATCAAATATTAAATTTTTACAATCTGTCTATAACCTTTGATCCAATCTTGTTCCTACTATGCTGCAATCAGTCTTTATTACAGTGCTGTTCTTTCACTGCCATGGAAGAGGGGCAAAAGTGTTGGCTGTCTTTAAAAAAATATTGTGAGCAATTTTATTCACTGCTTAATATTGCAGCTTTAAATCTTTAACAGTCATGGCCATATGCTAGGAAATGAGTTTTACGACAGCCCCTTGCTTAGAACACTCTGAACTGAAGGAGTACTTTTATTATTTGTCAGCAAGCGGAGTAAAGATGTTTTTTCAGCACTAAATAGCAAGTTTTCCTAAGTGAGCATTCACAGCACATCAGCTAGGACTTCTCTGTGGTCTCCAACCTTTTTTTAAACACAAGATAACTTTTCAATGTAAGCGCAATCTGGAATCTACCTCACACCCAAATACTCTTGTCCTGCTGCCTTTTCTGTCCCTTTCATTGAGGCCCTGCTTCTGTCCAACCCCTTCTTCGAGGCCCTGCCCTGTTAACTCTATGCCCCCTCCTGTCTCACACACTTTCCCCAGACTAGGGCAAGAGGTTGAGGAGCAGTGGGCTGCAGGCTCTGAGTTTGGGCTTTGAGTACGTGAGGGGCTCTGGGCTGAGTCTGGGGTAGGGGGTTGAAGTGCAGGAAGGCGGTCAAGGGTGGGTCAAGGCTTCAGGATGCAGGTTTTGGCTGGGCACCTCTTACCTCAGGCAGCTCCCGGTCAGTGACACAGTAGGGCTAAGGCAGGCTCACTCCTTCACCAGCTCTGTGCCACTCCTGAAAGCAGTCAGCATCTCCAGAATCAAATCATGGGGGGAGGAGTAAATGGCTCTGCATGCTGCCCTCCATTTAAAGGCACCACCTTCACAGCTCCTATTGGCCATGGTTCCCCATTCCCAACCAATAGGAGTTGTGGGGGCAGTGCCTGCAGGCAAGGGCAGTATATGGATACCTCCTCCTGGTCATCTCAGGGGTCACTTCCAGGAGCAGTGCAGGGCCAGGGCAGGTCATCTGCCTTAGCCTTGCTGTGTTGCCAGACTCTTAGCGGCCCATCTCCTGATTTGGCTTCATGAGCTTCCTGGAGATCGAAACTTATTCCAAGAGATTCCCGGTCAGTGTTCCGCACATGGATGGAAAAAATTAGAGGGAATGAATTTTGTTATGTGCACCAAAATCGAAGTAATATGCAGATGTGAATCATCACACCTACATATATATGTATTTAAAACAATTACAATAGGGATAATTATTCCAGATGCAACATAGACATTTATAACTCACTACTCAAAGGAATTAAATTGAAGTATAATGGATAAATGATTATGAACTGCACAGAACAGTCAAAAATGTAAACACTTTGAAAGAAGTAAAAGTAGTAACAAGTATAAGTTATATACTTGACAAATATAAGTATGCACTAGATCAGAAGGGAAGGAGTGTGTTTGTGTGAGTGACAGACACACAGTGTGAGAAAATGACAGAGATTTGCATTGCCCCTTTAAGTATGCTGAGCACATCCAGACTTAGGAGTAGCTGCCAGCAAGCTTCCTCCATTCGGAGCCCTGTCCTGTATTCTCTTAGTAGAGATGGGATATGGAGTGGGGGAAGGGGAATACTCTGCCATCAGTGCCCTCCTCCCACGTCCTGCACAGAAAACAGGAGCAGCACAGCAGAGGGGGGAGATGCAGCTGAAGTGTGGGCACTTGATATCCACCTGGCCAAACCAACCAGGATCACCCATCAGAGGCTCCAGGATCTACCAGGAGATCCAATCTACTATAGACCTTTATTGACCAGTATTTATAATGGGGCCTTGCACAGCAATAAAACCTCTCTCAAATGTAGCCCTAGACAGTGCAATTATACTCTTTTACTTTAGATTTCTCTTGCGGCTGCAGATATGTTAAAAGGGAGCAGAGCCAGACACTCAGTATAATGCAGTAAGTGTCACATTTCATCTTAAGGGACAGGCTTTCATGGGAATTACAATAGACAACCACACATGGATAAATAGTGGTCAGCACGTCTCATAGAGACTAACCACCCTGGGATAAACCGCAGTCCAGGACTTTACCCTGCAACCGCAATATAGATCACACAAGAAAAGGGTTTGGTCATTACTGTTGTAATGGTATAATTACTGCAGGCTTATCTCTTAAGTTGTTGCTGCTCCCCCTTTTATTACTGCTGTGCAAACAGACTATTCAAAATATGTTGGAACTATGCCTAAACAGTTTTATATTGTAAACAATGCTTTGCTGAAGAATGTATTCACAGTGCTTGCTGGATGCATCTTAAATATGCAGAATAAATGAGTGTTCAGTAGTTATTGTTTTGATTTTCTCCTGGCATTAACCCTTGCAAGCTTCTCATGCAGCCCTCACAGCAAGGACTTTTTATTTACATCATTTACGACTTCAAATTCATCAAAATTGTAATACTAGCAGCCAGATACTCTTTATTTCCAAATCCATTTGCTTTTCCTGTATTCCTTTTAATTTGTATTTTTCTGACTTTAATTTAGCTTTACTGAGGGGCTGCACATTTCACATAATTTTGAATTTTAGCAACCAGAACCCCTTGCATGCCATAACTTAACTACTGAAGAGACTGGCTTTAGATCAACACAATGTTCATTTCTGTGTATGTGGTGAATGGAGAAGAATAAAATAAACAGAATGAGTTAAAAGGCTTCAATAATCTTTGTCAGATACACAACAATAACTCTACCAAAGCATTTTGGAACCATTTAATGAAAAAAGCAGAATTTTATTATGTGATTTCTGTCCATTTTTTGGCATTGCTGTAAATGGTTCGCATTTACTGCAACTTCTGTACAGATGTGTGGTTTTGTATTACCAGAACAGCAAATTTAAATGAAAAATAAATGTTCAACAGTTCCACACAGGATTTTACAGTCTAACATTTCACTGAGTAGGTGAAAACTACAGAATTGTTACTACAGAATTATTCAGCATGAATAAAAAACTACAACTTTTATTTTTAAACGGGAGTCACTGGTTTTAATTTTACACTGTTTAAAATTACTGTGATAAAAATAATGAAAAAAGCTTTTTAATATGCCATACACCAGTATAATATAGTATCTGTCCCCATTATATATCTTTTGTTTAATATACAAAATAGAATAATGACACACTGTTGAATCTATGCTCTCAAGCAAATTAGTCTGGGTTTGGGGTATCTTTTCATACACACAGCCTTTTATCAGAAGAAAAACCCTCCAAGTATTTAAAAAAAAATATTGTAAAGAGGCTCTATTCCTATCCTGAAAAATTTGTTCCTATGTGACACTAATGGTGCATCAATATCTGGCTTTGAACTTGACAAATGGTAGCGCTTTTAACCACTCAACCAGTATATACACAATCCCCTTTTAAACATTCTCTCCTTTGGTTGGCTCCTGCAGTCAAAACTCACACAAACAGTTCCATATGAGACTAAGTGAAGCAGGATTGGGCCACTGCTCCAGGCACTTTCTCCTCCTCTTTTCCTGTTCTCAACACTTAATTTTTGAGAGACGAGAGAGGCTATTTTTTAAGCTAGGTTGGCACTTACACTCTTGCTCTCTAACCAGCTGCAAAGCTCTTAACAGATTTTAAGTAGAATTTTGTTTTACAAAAACACTGTACAAAATTGAAGTTCCTCCTCTTGCTATCTCATGCTCTGGCTTATCCTATCTAAGGCCATTCCTTTCAGTTTCCATGTGCATTTATAACATACAGCATGTATCTCTAGGGCTGTCCAAATGTCCCTTTGTCAGATGTATGCACTATGTGATAAGGCACTGAAGAGACAGAAATCAAGATTCTCTCTGCTTTCTCCAAAGTATAGGTTTTCCCAGTGCTAAAAAACTAAACATGCAGGGAACATGTACATTTCACTGACTGCTAAATGATTACACATTTAAAATGGTGTGGGTTTAAGACTTTAACAGCACATACAGAATGAATTTTTTCTTCCAATACCATAGTCTCCTCTCTTCTTTGAATCCATAACTCAACAATGAATACATGGGCACACAGATAAAAGGGGTTAGAGCCTCTTTCCTCTGATGTACTTATTCTCACAAGGCAATACTATTTTGTTCATTTTCATTTCAATTACTTTTCTATTGGCAAACAAATAACAGCACAAATCTTTGTCCACATATACTATGAAACTTCTTGAGAACTCTAATTGAGGTATCTCAGACTAAAATAAGAGATTAATACATTGGAGTGTCTTAGATTAAAGTTTTAGATCACTCTCTGAATAAAAAGTTTTCAAGATCATACTTGTAATTGAAGAGCCTTTTTAAAAAGCAAACACTATTAATCTCCTAACTGTACCTCAAATAGCATGAATTATTTTCATCGAGTTGGGTTGCCAATAATAGTTAAAATACTTTTCAAGGTTTAGCTTAACTGTTACAAAATGTACATATTCTTTAGAGATCATTCAGAGAGAACAGAATTATTTTTATTAAATGTCATAGTTTACTCCAAAGTACTGAATATAACATCTTTGTAATAGGTATAACATTCAAAAAACAAATTTAAGAAATGACAAATATGCAGTTTCCTATTCACCTGGAAACAAACATTTGCTGAACACTAGAAATGTATTAGTGTATTGTGAACAATCTATGCTCTATATTTAAATATTGCTGGTACCTGTAAGCACATTATTGCCAATTTTTTCAAACTGTTTTTGCTATTCCATGTGAGGCTGTATATGAAATTAACCCCATAAGTTCAGTGATGTACATACATCTTTTCGGTTTACATTTTTCTGCAGTGGAGGTCAAGTAAACCTACAAAGTGTGAAGATTTACTATTGGAATGTGAAGGGTAACCAAACAGGGGTGGTTCCAAGTTCCAAGCTGTGGTTCTATACAGTGATCTAATGAATGTAAATTTCAGCCCTAGAATCAACCTACTCAATATGGGTTTCTTCCTTCCTAAGAAGATAAACAAATGAGAGAGAGAGAGAGAGAAAAGAGTACCTCTTTGGATATCTAACACCTATTCTGCCACAGTATTAATATTTCCAGAAAAACCACAAATTGCATGGGTTACCATTCAGCATATTTGTGACCCCCTACAAAAACTAAAATCATGTGTCATGGTAAAGCAATCTGTCATCTAAAAATCACTTATTTTACACTATACAAGCTATTTAGCAATCATTCAATAAGTTGCTTTTAAAGCTGCAGTAGTCCTTCCCTTCTTTGCTTAGACTTCCATTAGTGAATATACCAATTATATATATTTGAAACTATAACTAAATATAAAAATATATTAGGGATTTCATGTTTTATCAATTAGATTTTTGTCTATTTTCTATTAAACAAATAATTGGGCTATTTTGAATAAAAAAATCTAATTTCAGGGTGGCTTAGTAAGTATTTAAATTATGTTTGTACAGAAAGTTGTTAAGGTGCACATAGAAAGGGCTACCACAGCTTCTCAACCTTTTAAAACATCATTATCAATGGTGACAAGAAGTTCACAATACATATGGTAATTTTATGGCACACTAGTAATTTGACATGAAGGGATGCAGCTTTACAAAGACAGAAGTCTGACACACAATTCTAAACTCCAAAATCAGTAGCGGAACCTTCCTGCTCTTCAGGAAAAGTAGATGAACCGATCAGTGACAGATGAAAATGTGAAAATGGGTGACTAAGCACACTCAGATTTGAGGTTTGTATACCCAGCAAGTTATAATTTGTCAGTACAGTTGATCTGTTTTACTGTCTGCTTTAAGATAAAGGTCTAATTGAAAAAAAAAAAAAAAAAACCCTTCAAAAGCCAATAAATATTAAAAAATACTAGGCACAATTACAAGTCTGTCTCATAAGCCAAAGCTATTTTCCCATATCAACTTGTATGATGAAACATTTACGTGTATGGAAAATGTGAATTTCTCTACATAAGAACTATTTTTTAAGCTATGCATATTTTTTGTGAAAGTTTCCTGATGGGTAGTCAGGACTGATCTTGACATTAATGCAGCCCAAAATTACTGCACTTATGGCTGTTGTATTATATGAAAAATCAGTTCATTTTCTGTATAAAATAGCCTGGGCTAATTGTCTATGAATCTATATTTGCAACACATTTTCATAAATACCAAAAGTGTGTTTAATTCATGTTTACTTGGGTTAGATTTGAGAATACTCTATCCTCCACCCTTTAAAAAAAAGCCAAATTTGTATGATCATCTTGACAATTAAAACAAGTTACAAAAGCCAACCCATTTTCACATGAATATGCTCAAGGATTAATGGCTAGAGGTCATTTAGGAAAGCTACAAGCTGCCCCACCTTAAAAAATAGTTGTACAATAGGCATTTTGAAGTATTACAAAAATCATGTAAGAAAAAAATGAGCAAGCCTAGGTTCACGGTATATAAAGTTAAAGGAAATTGCTAAAACCAGACAGTAATAGCTATAAAAGGCACAACTTCCCTTTTCTGATATACACTTGTAAACTTTCTTCAGGTTACATGCATAAATCAAAATGCTACCTTAACTATACAAAAAACCCAAACCATTTTACTGGAAAAAAACAAACAAACAAACAAACAAACCAGAAAATGTTATCCAGCCAACTGCAGTAATTACTAGTAGAATGCTCATAAGTCAGCCTTAGATCTCCGCACCACTAGTACAGGTGCATATAATGGTTAATTTTCTTTCCTTTCCTCTCCCTCCCCATTCTAATCATTCAATGTGAGCAATCCGCTGCTTCTGTAGTTTAAGTCTTGGCCCTCTGTAAACCATATGTAGTGCATAATAACAAAAGAAACACCGTTGCAAGACAAAATTAACAAGTCTGATAGTTTGTACAAAAAAGCTATAGTTTAACATTTTCTTAAGGCAATCTTTTTGTATTAAGGCAGTCACTTTTGATGAAATAAGAGCTTCTTGATATTTCCATTTGAATATTTTGGTATTTGATTGCTGATGATTTCTGCCAACATCTCTGGGAACTCAATACTCATGGATTTGTCCAAAAACGTTTGGAAGCAAAAGTTTAGAAGATTTTCAACCACCTACAATTGACAAAGAGAAGGTTTACTCTCACACTAGAGCACCAACCTCCCCTCCTCCCACTTTTTTCAGTTTTATTCATTTTTGCTATAAAGAAGATTTTGTATATACCATTTTAAAATTGGGATAAACCGAAACTATTTTAAAATTTAGCTAACACATTCATATTTTAAAGGCTGTAATGTTATATTGACTACTATGTCTTTCTGTAATGATATAATAGGTTAAAAACTACTATAATAAATTTTAAAACATTTTTGTGTTACTCTTTTTTAGAAAGAGACAATACATTTTAAATCTGGTCAATTTCAAAACAGAAGTTAAAAGTAGTTTAAAGTATTATTACACTTGCCCCTGAGACTGTCTACCAAAATTGTGTGCAGTGCACAGAGTAAATAAACCAAAAAAGGACAAAATTCTCTAATGACCTTCTAATAATCTTCTGAGATGTTACCTATAAGACGACAGAAATACAAATACATTTCTCATTTTTTTAACGCTAACAATGTCCAACAAATTATTTTATCTTAACCATTTTATGTGGTCTGATAAGTTCAGGTTATAAGGGCATAGTACCTTTACACAAACTTATCTATACAGAATGCATGCAGTGCACATTTTAAAAACTTACATCATGCATGGAGTCCAAAAGTTTAGTCAGTTGATAAAATCTCTGCCAGTTCTGGCTCGAGTTCCCCTCTCTCTTCACTATGGCTTTCCCCAGCTCTTTGATGTACGTCATACGAATCTCATCAAACAGAGCCTGACTCTTCAGGCCCTCCTTGGGAACTGAAACATTGAAATTAACCTTTAAGATGTTACAGATCTCAGCTGGTTCTATGATACATGTCATTATAGAAATGTTCTCTTCACATTATTTACATGACAAAAATTGGCAAAGGGGAATACAATCTGGGATTTACATTTTAATATATATCTGGACCTAAGCAGGATTTGTCCTGCAATTGTACCTTCTGGAGTCTTTGGGTCAACTGAAGTACAGGTCTGTGCACTTGAAGTGAGTGTAGGGAGTTTCTTTCTTCTGTGCACTGAAAGTTTCTTCCTATGGTGGGCTCAGGAAGCCTGCATAAGGCAGCTGTTCAATTTGATGCAGAGAAGAGATAAGAACTGGATGGGTGGTGGAGAGTAGATAAGGAAGAAAGAGCCTGGGAATGAATTAAGATGGGGCTGGAAGGCAGACTGAGGCAAAGAGGGCAATGAGACTGGAAAGGGAGGGAAGGAGGAAAGGGTAGACGAGATTGTGGAATGGGAGTGAAGGGGGGGGGGGGGCTACAGCAGCCAAGATGGAAAATTTAAGACTGGTATTCAGTAGGGAGTGGAAATGGGGTGGAGGTAGAAGACAGATAGATCAGACAGGGATGCAGTGTGTTTGTCGTAGGAGAACTAGGACTGAGTGGGCAGAGCTTGTTTCAAGAAGGGCAGACATCTTTGAAACTACCTGCAAAGTATTTGTGATGGTCCACAGACTGACAACCTACTACTGCTATCAGTTACTATATAATTCCACATGGCAGATATCTGCATGGTGAATATAATTTTTGCAAAACTGCTGATTACCCACATCTTTGTCAGTATGATCCCTTATGATGGAATTAGGTTGTTCCAATTTGTTTTTTAAAAATCTAAGACATTTTATATGCCTCCTCCCTCACACCCAGAGGTAAAAGAGCTTTAAGACTACAAAATCAAGCACTCATAAGAAATGCTAGAGTTAAGATTGTGCAAGCTGAATTTTGCCTGCTTGTGAAAATGCATCATGATCCAGTCTTCAATTATATTCTCCTCAACCCCTGCCACCAATCTCTCATTCAGTGCACAGTCTGGACCCGCTCCATAGATAAATCAGGACTACACAGTGAAGAAAACTGTTGTCACTAGGACCCCTGCCTCACGTGTTTGCAGAAGTTGGAAGATGTAGTTCCTGTCTCATTCATTTTACAGGAAGAGAAGGGATGGTCTCATAGCAAAGATCTCTCAGTGCTGCCCTGGACAATTGCATTCTACTCCTGCTTCTGTCAAAGAATTACAATGTGATGCAAGGCAAGCTCTGAATATGATGCAAGGCAAAGCACTGAAACCAAACTCTTCACAGGTGGTCATTAAGTGGTTATCATTTTCTGGGTACCTGACCTGAAATCCTGTAGTCTGATTTACAGAAGTGCTTATCTTTTGCAAACTGAAGTCAATGGGCGCTGTACTTGGAACATACAAATTGCCATGAGACAAGCTCTAAAAATCAGGTTGTAGGTGTCTCAAACTGGACATCAAACACTGATGGGTAATTCTGACCATAACCCTTCTGTACCACCTCTGTAAATGGGGTTAATGCCCAAATTATCCTCTACTACAATCTCACGAGCAGCGAGATCTGTGTATCAGCTTGAACCAATGCTGCTTTGTGGGCCATTTGTACATGGAATAAGAAAGAGTACTGTTGCCGTTTCCTCAATCCTGAATGATGATTCTGACTTGCAAGTTTTCTTGGAGGCCAAAAATTCTCAAGCAAAAGTTCTTTTGACAATGTTACTTGAAGTCTCATTTTCGAAAGTGAAACATCTATGGGACATGGGCGCTTCTGAAAATTTACTTTTAGCCTGGGGTTTGAAGCAGATCCATTATTTTGTATAGAATAGCAGCACAGACATTATCTATAGGATGGTGTCTAGAGAATTAGAAAATGACTTGGTACACATCCCCAAAGATTTATACTATATATCCAAAACAGTCAAGGAGTTTGCAGAGTTTCTCAACTTCAGTTTCCAAGGACCCACGACACACATAAAAGTGTGGAGCTGAGAGGTTATGAATGCTTCCTTCCAAAATAACCTTTGTCCCAGTTTTTGGGCTTAGCAGGCAAAGCCTGCACTAGGTTCCTCCGCCAGGGGAAAAGAGGGAAACTACTTATGGAATAGCTTGGAGTTTTGCACATTCTGAAGATTTTCCCTGTGTGTTCTTGAAACAAATATCTTATCACTGGATAGTTTCAATTTAATAATATGTCTAGTTATAATCAGCAGAAGCAGTTTCTGTAATAGCAGCATGCAGTCATGCTAGAAGAGGAGCATTTTTTGCACAGCGTTCAGAAAGAAACTCAATTTTGAGCTTTCACTGTGTGAGAGATACCTGCCATAGCATCCACCTACCGACACACAATCTCATAATGTTTGTAAGATTCATTCTTCACACAGATTTTGTAACTGTCCACTTACCTGTAGAGAGAAGCATCAAGGTTTTCATGCAGAGATATTCTTCATATGACACTTGAAGCCGTGACAGCTCATTGGAAACCATAAGCATATGTTTGCATTGGTCATACATACATGGTAGATTCATTCTCTGCCTGAAAAACAAAAGCATAAAAATCAATTAAGTAAAAGATCTGGCTCTCCATTTCTTCATCTAAGAGGTTTTAAAAAAAAAGGGGGAAGGGGGAAATCCCACAAAAGATTCTTAGTCTATGCAGTAAAGTTTCAACAGAGGAATTTCCACTTCCAACAACTGGTGAATTTATTTTGGACAACTGATCTGATAACTGGATCTAGAGGATGGCCAGAAAACGAAGTGGGAAAAAAATATTAAAATCCCACTTCGTTTTCTGGTAGAGAAATCCAGTTTCACAACAGAAGCTTATTTAAGCCAGGCCACACACTCCTACTAGCAATCCTACTGGTTGCCAAAAGGCAACTTTTGAGATTTCATTTGAGGTAACAAAACACATTTTCTATTCAGTAGTTTTGCGACAGGTTTCTCTTCCCAAGACTGGCATTAAATCTTAGATTTAACAGTGTGATCCATCACTGGGTGCAATGAAATGAAATACCACATTAAGAGGGGATTTTCAAATGGGTCCCAGGGAGTGAGGTGTCCATATCCTATTGAAATTAATGACCCCTGAAAATCCACTCCCTCATTGCCTGCAGAATAAATAAATATGACAGGAAGGCAAAGGAAAGCTACGAGAGGGATCACAATGCAGTTACTCCTTTTGCACACCAGGAACCAGAAGAAAGAAAGGGCAGCTGCCTCACGGCACAGAACAGCCAGCTGCAGAGAGAGCCAAAGCGAGGAGGCCTGGGATATGGGAGGGACGGACAGACTGCGGTTCAGAAGGTCTAGGGGACAGACCGTTGTAGGGGTACTATGGGTATAGGAGCTGGTGGTGTAACAGTATCTAGCCATGGACGGAATGGCAGGAGGAGTGCAGGGCTATATGGGGATGAGGTGGGACACGTGTGTCTACATAGCACCCTTTCTTCGAAATGGCTCATTTCGAAATTTGGTACTGTCTACACAATGCCAAATTTCAAAATAAAGCGCTATTCTGAAACATCCCTTAACCCTCGTGCAATGAGGTTCAAAGGGACACTGGAATAGTGAACCTGTTGTATTTCAATATAACAGGCTTGCTTTTAAGACATGGAATAGCTATTTTGGGATACCTTTGGTATCTGCAGTGTAGACATAGCCATGGAGATATATACAGGTATGGTTAAATGAATGGGGAGTGTGGGTGCATGGGGACAGGGGAAAATATGCCTGGCTGAGTGGGGAGTGGCTAAGGGTCAGCCAGGGGTTGCATGGGGAGAGGCTCCCCATCTCCTTAACACCTTCCCACCTCTCCAAAAACTGTTGTATATCTCTCCTCTCCATAACCAACAACTCTCCATGTTCACTTTCACGTGCCTTCCCAGCAATTACTTCACTCTCCCCTGCTCCTCGGTTACCAGTCTCCTCCAAGCTTTTGCAGTTTTGAGGGGTGTAGGAAATATTCTTCTGTATTGCAGTTTAAACGTATTATTACTCATTTTTGTAATAATGTACCTAATAAGGAATTAAAAAAAAATCCAGAACCTTTTTTTGTTGTCTGTATTGTTACCGACATATTTTCTGGCAAGTATTCTGCAAGTAATTACCAAAATTACTGAAACTGGAGTGACGATAGTGTATTATTTTGACAAATAATATATGCAGAATTTTGCAAGTTTTAAAATATCGTGTGCAGAATTTTTAATTTTTTGGCACAGAATTCCATCAGTGACCCCAAAAGCAAAACTAGGACTTGCATATGAAATTTCCCATTTCTTTTCACACCTAGAATCTTTTTTAAGATCTCTTTCCAATATTTCATGTAAATGAAATGAACTCCAGGAACTTTCATAAAAAAAAACCCTGATTGAAACCAAGAAAGAAAATGAATTGAGATGAACAGTTTAAGAATTTGGTGACTGCACAGTAAGAAACATGAACAGCTTTTTAAAACTGTATTAAGACTGACATTTGTGACATTTTTCTTTTCCTATATATTTCCCTGTAAACTACAGATCAAGGCTGGGCAATAATTTTTGATGGGGGAGCCACTCCAAGAATTTGGAAAGTGGTCAAGGGCCACACTCATCCATATTAATGGAGGAGGTGCGGGGTCTGGGATGGAGGTTGAGTGCAGAAGGGAGCTTGCAATAAGAGACTGGGGTGCAGGAGTGGGTGTGGGGTCTGGGAGGAAATTGGGTGAAGGAGGAAGTTGTGACCTGGATTAGAGGACTAGCGTGCATGGGTCTGGGTTGTGACCTTGGGCAAGAGAGGGTTGTGACCTGGGTACAGATGGGGATGAAGGGGTTTGGGCTGTGACCTAGAGCAGAAGGGGGGTTTGACTTGGGGCAGGGCACTGGGGTGCAGGGGCTTGGGTTGTGACCTGGGTACAGATGGGGATGAAGGGGTTTGGGCTGTGACCTAGAGCAGAAGGGGGGTTTGACTTGGGGCAGGGCACTGGGGTGCAGGGGCTTGGGTTGTGACCTGGGCCAGGAGATTGGGGTACAGGATCTGGGAGGAGAGCTGAGTGCAGGAGGGGGGCAGAGGGTTTGGGTTATGTGGGAAGGGGGAAAAAGAATGTGGGAGGGGATATGGGGGCAGATTTGGTTTATGTGGGGTGGAGGGCCAGAGGGTTTGGGTTATGTGGGGTGTGGGGGGGAAGATTAGGGTGCCAGAGGCAGGCCGAGAACCAGCCAATGGGATTGTGCTGGGGGGTGGCAGTAGTGCTCTCCCAGGCTCACAGCTGTTCAAACAGAGCCCCACAATGCGGCACCATCCACTTTTCTCAGCAGTGGTGGGGGGGAGGGGCGGAGAGGCGTGGAGGAGAAGAGTTGCCTGAGCCTCCCAGGGCCAGATTCAGCCCGTGGAAAGTATTTTGCCTAGGCCTGCTATAGACTAATACAAGAATTTAATAAACAAGAAGCAGTTGAAAGTATACACCGTATTCTTACAAGGCAACAGACCATATGAGTCTGTGAATAAAGATTAAGAGACTCAACTTTTCTGTGAGACCTTGACATAAATCTGCTTGGTTAATTTTCCGCTGTCTCTTTCAGGTACCAAAAAGTGATATTCTTTAACTTTAAAGTAACTGAAACACATTTTGTCACAAGGTTCAGCAATTTTACTCTTGTAAAGTATTACCATGCCTGGGCAGAAGGTTAACATAAATATTATAAAACAAGCCAGTCTATTATTTATTTTTATCTATTATAAATATACCCCATCAGTAAGTGTCTGAATGCCTGTACAAAATCAAACACAAATGTTAATATTACCAAAGCTACATAAAATGCACTCTCTACCAAAAGCTATAGTATAAGCATATCCCCCCTTCAGACAAGGCTAAGTAAACAGATGAGCTTTGCACTGTGTCCTGAAGGGCAACAGACAGGCTGTCAGAACAATGCGAAAACTAATTCAGCAGAGAGTTCTCAACTCTGGAAAACAGTCTGGGAGCAGGTCCCAGACATTCCATTCTGAGATCTCCTGGCCAGAGAGCATCAAATGACCTCAGCTGCTTCAGTGTGCACAGGGAAGAAGGAAAGTGAAAAAGGATTATGTACCAATGATGGAGCAGGGAACCAACAAGAGTCAGGGCTCCTGGGTTCTTTTCCCAGGTGATTTTGGTAACTACAGAGTAATTTCATTGCAATTATACTGTTACTAAAGGGTATGTCTACACAGCAAAGTTATTTCGAAATAACAGCCCTTATTTCAAAATAACTTTCCTAGCGTCTAAACAGCCAAACCACTATTTCAAAATAAATTTGAAATAGCGGAGCACTTATTTTGAATTTGGTAAACCTCATTCTACGAGGAATAACACCAAATTCGAAATAGCTATTTCAAAATAAGTTCTGTGTAGACATCGAGGTAGACAAGCAATCAGGGAAACTTGAAAACTGGCTGTCCCGGGGAGTCCCTGTAAGCACAGACCTCAGATAGCCTTAGGCAGCAGCCCCACACAGTAAGCCCTGACCCAGTACCCTGCTGGAACTGGTTCCGGCCAGCCTTAAATGCGATTCAGAGTCCACTCAGCGTAGACGCGCTATTTTGAAATGCATTTTGTGTGTAGATGTGATATTTCGAAATAAGCTATTTAGAAATAACTATTTTGAAATAAGTTATTTTGAAATAACACTGTAGCGTAGACATACCCAAAGCGTGCTTTTCCTTTTTGAGTATGTAAGTCTGTTTTTGTAAGAAGAACATTAACTAGGTAACAGATTTACTCATTACAGGTTGAACCTCTGTAATCCGGCAACCTTGGGACCTGACTAGTGCTGAACTAGAGAATGTGACAAACCAAGGGAGGTCAATATTGGCTAGCTGCATTACCAACACTTCCATTGCTTACTGGGCTCTTAGAAGACATATAGGAGTAATTTGGAGTTAAACAGCAGCACAGAACATTATGAACCAGGACTGGTGGATGTAAAAAACATTATGGGACCATGGAAAACTTGGCCACACCCATGATAGATGGCGATCTGGCTAACTAATATCATGCCGGACCATGGATGTTGCCAGACCAGAGAGTGCCAGAATAAAGAGGTTCAAACTGGATTCCTATAATGGAGTACTTGCTTAGAAAGTGATTTTAAAATTGATGAGAGTTAGGTCATTTTACTGTTTATGAACCAATTATGTCTCATTCTTTTGATCATCTAGAAGTGCAAGGAAACAAACTAGGGAGTTATTTAACAATCAACTATCTCAGTATTTAGTCAACTGCCAATCTCATGCCATTCAACAAATGGTAAAGAGATACACTGTGTGTTTCAAACATAAAATAATGAGCCAGTCTCTAAAAGCAAGAACTGGATCCTAATGCATAAAAGTCTGTTTTAAAGATTACCTTCTTTGAACTGGTCTTAATAAAAATATATAGAATAGTGGAGTAAACTTTACATAGACTATACAATGTAAGTTAAAATCTATAAAGTTTACAGTTAAAGGGCATATGAGGTTTGTGTGGGAAGCAAAAGAGAGTTAAAGGCATGTGATTTTCAACATTTGATATGAGTCACT